AAAAAAGTTTACTGCTTTTTAGCTTTAATTTGTTTATAAAGTTTTAAATATTTTTAAAACTATATAAAATGCTTAATTTGTTGCTTTGTTTAATTAAAAGCTAGCTTTAGCTGCTTTGCGCATAATATTTTTTTTAGCTTTTTTGTTTTTAGCGCAAAAAGCTTAATTTATTTTTATTTTTTAAGCGTTAGCTATATTATTATAATTTAAAAATATAGCGTTAATTAGTGCTATTTAAAAATCGGCTAAATATAAGTTATTTTAAGTATATTTAATTAATAGTTTAATAAAAAACCTTTTATTTTTAAAGTATAAATTATATAGCCACATGGCACAGTAGTTAAGCGCCTAGCTCATTAATATAGAATATTAATGCATAAGTTCGAATTTTATTGTAGTTTAATTAACTATCTTTTTTTTAAAGCATACATAATTTTTATTAGTTATTTATAGCTAATAAAAGCACTATTAGCAAAACCTTTTGCTAAGCACCTACATTATTACTAGTTAATTGCTAGCATACATACCTACTTTGTTAACATTTTAAAATAGCATTGCAAATAAATTAAAAAGTATTAATTAAATAAAAATGCTAGTAACTAAAATATTTACTATTAACAGCCCTATTAATAAGGTAACTGTTACTAATAACTTTACTTTTGCTAACACCTCTTTATTTAATAAAGCAGCTATTATTAATTAATTAACCTTATTATCGTTAATATCTTTTTATAAAGTAGCTCCTTATAAGGTAGCTATTACTAACTAACCTTACCATTGCTAACATTTCTTTTTAATAAGGTAGCTATTATTGACCTATATACCTATTGCTAACCTCATTATCGCTAATACTTTTTTACAAGGTAGCCCCTTATAAAGTAGCTTTTTATAAAGTGCTGTCACTAACTAACCTATTAATAAGGCTTTAAAAAAAGCTAGTTAACAATAAAGCGTTAACTTTTTAATTAATGCAAAAGATTTCTTATGTAAATTTTCAACACGTAGGTATGAGGGACTTTAATGAAACCCTTTACTTTAGCCGTTTTATAATCTATATAGGCTTAAAGTGTAATTAAGTACTATAGTAGTTAATTCAGCTCCGGCTTTTGCATTAGACGTTAAATATATCATCATCATCATTATCATTATCATTATCATTATTATAAAGTATAAATTATTGTTTTTTATTATTATAAACTTAATTTTTTTACTTTATATTATACTTTATTTTTAAATATCAGGGTTGTAATTTAATTACTAATTAGTTACTAAATTAACTAGCCCCACTAACTAGAGTTAGTTAATAGCTTGACTAAAACTACTGTAGTTAATTAGTAGCCTAACTAAGACTAACTACACTAGTTTGAGTTAATAACTATAAAAAAACTAAAAACTAACAAAAATGACCCACTTTTTTTTATAAACATTAATTTTTATTAGTATTTTTATATTACATATTAAAAAAAGTAGCGTATAAAGAGTTTTTATATATGTAATTTAAGCTATTTAAAAAAAGAAATTATATATAAAATTACATTACGATTTTATATAATTAATTCTTTAAAAAATATAATTTTATCTTTAATATATAAAATGTTATTTAATTTTTTAATTTAAGGTTTGTTAAAAATTACAATTAAGCTTTTTAAAAACGTTTAAACTTATTAATTTTATAACTTTTTTAAATTAATTAATATTAATTTAAATTTTAAAAAATAAATTATATAAATATATAAATTAACAAAAGCTTTAAAAAGTATATTAACAATATATTTATATTATATATTAAAAATGCAGTTAAAAAGTAGTTTTTATTTTTTTTTAAATTAAATTATTTTAATATGTACTTTATTAAGTATATAATAAAGTATATACTTTTTTTAAATTTAATTAATATAAATTTTATATTTAATAAATATATTTTAAAACATTAAAAAAAACTTTTATTATTATTGTAAAAATAATATAAATTTAAAATTTAAAAATTATTTTTAATATGAAATAAAAACAATTTTTAAAAATGGGGCTATTTTTGTAGTTTTTAGTTTTTTTGTAGTTACTAACTCGACTAACTGGCTACATGGCGCAGTGGTTAAGCGCCTAGCAGACATTAGTGTGAAATACTAATGTAATAAGTTCAAATCCCATTGTGGTCCAACTAACCATCCCTTTTTCCAAGGCACAACACTTTTTATTGGCTATTTCATAGCCAATAAAAGCACTATCGGCGAAACTTTTCGCCAAGCACCCACATCATTGCCGGCTAATTGCCGGCATACACACATACCCCGCTAACATCTCAAAGTAGCACTGCAAATAGAGCTGCTAAGCAGCTAAAAAAGCATTAGCTAAATGGCAATGTCAGCGACCGAAATATCCACTGCCGACAGCCCCACTAACAGGGTAACTATCGCCAACAACCCCACCATCGCTAACACCCCCCTCCCTACAGGGTAGCCTCCTATAAGGTGGCTTCTTACAGGGTGCTGTTGCCGACCCACATACCCCCCTATCGCCAACACCTCCCTATCTAATAAGGTAGCTGTCGTCGACCCACATACCCCCCATCGCCAACACCTCCCTCCAATAGGGTAGCTGTTGCCGACCTACACACCCATCGCCAACCCCACCATCGCTAACACCCCCCACAAGGTAGCCCCCTATAGGGTGGCTTCCTACAAGGTGCTGTTACCGACCAACCAACCCCCGGCAAGGCCTTGGAGAAGGCTAGCCAACGGTAAGGCGCATTAGCGCGAAGGATTTCCTATGTAAATTTTCAACACGCTGGTACGAGGGCATAAGCCCCTTACTCCAGCCGTTCCATAGTCTATACAGGCTCAAGGTGTAACTAGATGCCATAGTAGATAGTTCAGCTATAAGCTCCCGCACTAGACGTTAAATATATCATCATCATCATCATCATGTTATTTTTTATTGCTATAAGCTTGTTTTTTTTGTTTTGCACTATACTTTATTTTTAAATATAGTTAAGGTTAAAGTTAAGGTTAGTATTGGCATTAATTGCCGCTACTACTACTACATATAAACAAGAAAGCAAAGCTTCCTTTTTTTGTCCCTTATTAAAAAGCGCAAAAATTATAATGTTTAACTTTAAAAAAGTAAGTAAAGCTAAGCAAAAAAAGTTAAACTAAGCACCTTTTTTAAAGTTAATTATATGTTTTACTTTTTTTTTATTATTAGTAAAAAATTAATTTAGCGTAATAACAATTATTAATTTAACAACAATGTTTTAAATTTAAAAAAAGCTACGTTAGCTTATTTTTTTTAAAAGTTTTTATATATTCTTTAAATGCTATGTTTAAATAAAATAAAAAATTAGTAAATATATTAAACTTAATTTTAACGTTTATTTTTATTTTTTCCATAATTACCTTTAAAAAAGTTAAAATAAAAACCGTTAAATTTTTTATAAATCTAAACAAAATAAGTTCGTAGTTTTTTATTTTAACTCTAATTTTTATAAAAAGCCAAAAAAAAAATAAAAGTTATTTTTTGCTTTAAGTTTAAAAAAGTAACCAATAAAACAATAAGTCGTTTTTTTAACTATCTTAAACTTAAAAAAAAAGTTAAAATAAAAAAAAAAACTGGCGTTTTTATGTTTAATAAAAAGGCTAGTGCTTTTATTTTCTTTTAAAGAAAAAAGGTTGCTTAATTTAAAGGCAAGGAAAAAAAGGTAAAGCTTACAATACCGTAAGTTTATATAGTATAAAAGTTTTAGCAAAGGTTGAGAAAAAGTTGTAAGTAGGAAAGTGGATGAATTTTAATATTTAAATTATAGTTATTTTTAATATGGTTTTTAAGGTTTTTATTTACTTATATATTTATATAATTTATTTTTAAAAAAATTAAATTAAAAAAGTAATGAAGTTATTATGTTTAAACGTTTTTAAAAAAAACTTAATTATGATTTTTAATAAACTTTAAATTAAATAACTTATTATATATTTACTATAAAGTTGTAGTTTTTAGAAAATAAGTTATATAAAATCGTATAGAATTTTATATATAAATTCTTTTTAAAAATTACTTGATTTATATTAATAAAAACTATTTTTACGCTATTTTTTAATATATAATATAAAAATATTAGTAAAAATTAATTTTTATTAAAAAGTAGGTTATTTTTGTTAGTTTTTAGTTTTTTTGTAGTTATTAACTTAATTAACTTATATAGTTGTAATAATAATAATAATGATATATTTTACGTTTTAAGGCAAGCGATAAAACTAACTAACTAACTAGCTATTTACAACCCTAAGCCTGTATAAACTATAAAACAACTAAAGTAAAGAGCTTATGCCCTTATACCTGCGTGTTGAAATTTACATAAGAAATCTTCCGCGCTATTAGCGCCTTACTATTAACTAGCTTTCTTTTTAAAGCCTTACTAATAAGTTAGTCGGTAATAACACCTTATAAAAAGCTACCTTATAAGAAGCTACCTTGTAAAGAAGTGTTAGCAATAGTGAGGTTAGCGATAAAAAGTATATAAGTTAACAATAGCTACCTTATTAAATAGGGAGGTGTTAGCAATGGGGGATGTGTGGGTCGGCGACAGCTACCTTATTGGATAAGGAGGTGTTGGCGATAAGGAGGTATGTAGGTCGGCGATAGCACCCTATAAAAAGCTACCTTATAAGAAGCTACCTTATAAGGAAGTGTTAGCAATAGTAAGGTTTATTAGTCGATAACAGCTACTTTATTAAATAAAAAAATGTTAGTAAAAGTAAGGTTATTAGCAATAGTTACCTTATTAATAAAGCTATTAGTAGTGAAAATTTTAATCGCTAGCATTTTTTATTTTACTAATGCAGCTTTATTTGCAATGCTACTTTAAGATGTTAGCAAGGTATGTGTGTATGCTGGCAATTAGCCGGCAATAATGTAGGTACTCGGCGAAAAGTTTCGCTAATAGTGCTTTTATTAGCCATAAACAGCCAATAAAAAGTGTGTATGCCTTAAAAAAAGGATAGTTAATTAAACCACAATAAGATTCGAACCTATTACATTAGTTTCCACACTAATGCTTGCTAAACGCTTAACCACTGCGCCATGTGGACAACTTATATAGTTTATAGTTAGTTAAAGCCTTAATTAAAACTACATAAATTAGTTAAAACCTTAACTAAAAACTATATGAGTTAGTTAATAGCTTAATTAAAATTATTGTAGTTAGTGGGTCTTATAGTTAAAACTAACTAAATTAGTTAGTAATTAAAAAAAAACTAAAAATTAAAGTTTTTTATCACAATTTTAAATAAAAGCATTATTAGCGAAACTTTTTACTAAACACCTATATTATTGCTAATTAATTGCTAGCATATATACCTACCTTGTTAACATCTTAAAGTAATATTATAAACAAAGCTATTAAGTAGTTAAGTATTAATTAAATAATAATGTTAGCAATTAAAATATTTATTACTAATAGCTTTATTAATAAGGTAACTGTTGTTAATAACTAGCTTTATTATTGCTAACACTTTTTATAAAGTAGCTGGCCACATGGCGCAGTGGTTAAGCGCTTGGTAAACATTAGTGTGGAATATTAATGTAATGGGTTTAAATTCTATTGTGGTTTAATTAACTATTTTTTTTTAAGGTACACATATTTTTTATTAGCTATTTTATAGCTAATAAAAGCATTATTAGCAAAACTTTTTACTGAGTATTTACATTATTGCTAGCTAATTGCTAATATACACACCTACTTTGCTAACATCTTAAAGTAGCACTGTAAATAAAGTTGCTAAGCAGCTAAAAGCATTAGTTAAATGGAAATGCTAGCAACTAAAACATTCACTGCTAATAGCCCTATTAATAGGGTAATTATCGCTAATAACCTCACTATTGCTAACACCCCTTATAGGGTAGCCACCTATAGGGTGGCCTTTTATAAGGTGCTGTCGTCGACTTACACCTTTATCGCCAACACCCTAATAGGGTATTTGTTGCCGACAACCCCACCATCGCTAACACCCCTTACAAGGTAGCCCCCTATAGGGTGGCTTTTTACAAGGTGCTGTTATCGACCCACACACTTTTTATTGCTAATACCTCTTTAAAACCAATAGGGTAGCTGTTGCCGACCTACCTACCATCGCTAACCCCACCATCGCTGACACCCCCCCCTTACAAGGTAGCCCCCTATAAGGTAGCTGTTACCAACCAACCTATTAGTAAGGCTTTAAAAAAGGTTAGCTAACGGTAAGGCGCTAGTTACTAATGCGGAGGATTTTTTTTGTAAATTTTTAACACGTAGGTATGGGGGCCTATAAAACTTCTTATTTTAGCTGTTCTATAGTTTATACAAGCTTAAGGTTGTAAATAACTAGTTAGTTAATTAGTTTTATTGCCTGCTTTAAGACGTAAAATATATCATTATTATTATTATTATTTATAAAGTAGCTACTTATAAGGTAGCTTTTTATAAAATACTATTGTTAACTTATATACTTTTTTATTACTAACACTTTTTTAAAACTAATAAAGTAGCTGTTACTAACTTACTTATTATTGCTAACCTTACTATTGCTAATACTTTTTCTTTATAAAGTAACTTTTTATAAAGTAGCTTTTTATAAGGTACTGTTATTAATTAACTAACTTTTAGCAAAGCTTTAAAAAAAGTTAGTTAATAGTAAGGCGCTAATAGCGTAGAAGATTTTTTATGTAATTTTCAACACGTAGGTACGGGGGCATAAGCCCTTTACTTTAGCTGTCTTATAGTTTATATAGGCTTAAAGTTAGAAATAGCTAGTTAGTTAGTTAGTTTCATTGCCCGCCTTAAACGTAAAATATATTATTATTATTATTATCATTAAAAATATTTAAATTTTTATAACTTTAAAAACTATATAATAATAATGATGATATATTTTACGTTTAAGGCAGGCAATAAACTAATTAATTAATTAGCTATTTATAACTTTAAGCTTATATAAACTATAAAACGGTTAAAGTAAGGGGTTTATGCTTTTATACTTGCATATTGAAAATTTATATAGGAAATTTTTTGTGCTAATGCGCTTTATTGTAGCTAACTTTTTTTAAGGCTTTACTAGTAAGATTATTAGCAATAAATATTAGCAAGTAAGGTTAGTTAGTAATAGTTATTTTATTGGTTTTAAAGAAGTGTTAACAATAAGGAAATATATAAGTCGATAATAGCACCTTATAAAAAGCTACTTTATAAAAAGCTACTTTATAAAAAGCTACTTTATAGAAGAGGTGTTAGCAATAGTAAGGTTAGCGATAGGTATATAAGTTAATAATAGCTACTTTATTAAATAAGAAGGTATTAGCGATAGTAAAGTTAATTAACGATAGCACCTTATAAAAGGCTATTTTATAAATAGCTATTTTGTAGGAAATATTAGCAATAGTAAGGTTATTAGCAATAAATACTTTATTAGTAAGGCTATTAGTAGTAAATATTTTAATTATTAGCATTTTTATTTAGTTAATGCTTTTTAGCTACTTAATAGCTTTATTTATAATGCTACTTTAAAATGTTAGCAAGGTATGTATATATGTTAGCAATTAGCTGGTAATAATGTAGGTGCTTGGCAAAAGGTTTTGCTAATAGTGCTTTTATTGGTTATAAACAGCTAATAAAAAGTATATGTGCCTTAAAAAAAGGGATAGTTAGTTAAACCATATTAATATTTTACATTAATGTTTGCTAGGCGCTTAACCACTGCGCCATGTGGCCTACTTTATTAATAAGGTTATTAGTAATAAATGTTTTAATCGCTAACATTTTCTATTTAATTAATACTTAATAACTTTATTTACAGTGCTACTTTAAAATATTAATGAAATAAGTATATATATTAGCAATTAGCTAATAATAAGCTTTATTAGCTATAAACAGCTAATAAAAAGTATATATGCCTTAAAAAAATTAGTTAATTAAATTACAATAAAATTTAAACTTATTACATTAATATTTACTAAGCGCTTAACTACTGCGCTATATAGTTAAGAATTTAATTAAATTTTACATTTTACAATTTAAAGCAGCTTTAAAGATAGCTATTAAAGCTTTTAAAAAATAGTTTATTAAGTTGTTTTTTATAAAAAAAAATTAAAAGCATTAAAAATAAAAATAAAATATTATAAAAAAAACTAAAAATCTTAAATTTAAACTGAATATTTTTAAAACTTTAACTAAATTTAAAACTATAAATAAAATTTTTTAAGTTATTATAAGTTAAAAATAGTAAAAAATTTAAAAATAAATTTAATAATTTAAGTTAAAATAAAAAGTTAAATACGCTTATTATTTAATCGTTAAAACATACACGATTAAAGCGCATAATTATACTTTTAAGTAAATATATAAATTAAATAAAGAAAAAGCTTTAATATGATGTATTTTATTCATTTTTATCATTTTTATTGAATTTTATATGTGTAAGTGAAGTTGTTGGTGTTTTGGTGGTACGTTATACATTTAGGTGGGAGAAAAGTGGGGGTGGCCAAATGAGTGTACGGATGGTATATATATATATAATAGCGCCGACCATCGTAGCTTGTAGCTGTAGCTACAGCCTTACGGCCCAGACGACAGCCCACTAGGGCATACAACACCACTTGGGGACGGGGAGGACTCCCTAGTATCCCCCCAGCAAACACAGAATGAAATCATACGGCAGCAAGTCAGCAGGACCGGCCTGTAGCGGCCACTGACTAGGGAATGATGAGCCCTCAAAGCAAGGAATGGCTTCAATAGATGTAGATACACTTGCATAGATAGATACACCTATAGCTTGCCACGTCCCATACCCCTAGGGAGGTTGCTGGAGAAAGGCACACGCCACTCTAGCCTAGACGTTAAACAATAAAACAAACAAACAAACAAATTGTAGCTGTAGCTACTAGGTTAGCTGGCCTTAGCATCTACGCCCCGCTAAATACTCCTTCCGTCCTGATCTCTTAAGCTGGAATGTTTAGCTAATCGACGTATGGTGGTCTGTGCATATGTGGCTAGATTAGGCCGTAATAAAAGGTGAACCTGTTTGAAGTAACTAGAGGATTCACACAATAACCTAGACTTTCATATAGAGTATGTTTTTCTGTTTTTACATGTTGATATTTTCGGGTTCTTTGTAGTTATTCTGTTTAAAACCTAGGAAACAAGTCTATTTTACTTGCGTACAAAGCAAAGTATACCTCTGATTTATATATTTCCATTGTTTGCCCCCGGAAACGGAATAGGCGAATATGCAGGAGTATAGGAAAACAAAAAGCCAGCTCGAAGCCATGTATGCATGTTATCTACTTGAAGACGTGAACTATGAATTTTGCACAGATTGGTTTTGTTTCCTAGGTTCTCGCGGCTAAAGTTTGTTCCCATAACCGAAAATGAGTAGCGAACTGCAGCGTCTGCGAAGTAAAGTTAAGGAAGTCTTCACCTCAAATAGTCGTTTCGCATTTGAGAAAGACCTAGCAACTGGAACTTCTGGCTTTGGGATTCTTTTCAAGGAGACAGATAGAAGTGGTACTTCCAGGAGATTCGTGGTAAAGCGTTCTGTAGAAGAGGACTGGGATGCTGATATTCAAAATGAACGGGCCTGGCTGCAAGTATGAACCCTTTTTTCGTGTGCTTGGCCTACTATCGTTATTAATCAAGGCACAGAAAATGCAAAAAGTCGAACACATCGTCAACCTCGTGACTATAACCGACAATCCTATTCTACCTTATAATGGTCAAGGTGGACTTAGCGGGGTTTCTATCATAATGGAATACATGGAAAACGGGACAGTACGCCAGTTCTTAGACAGGGTCGGTAGTGAGCCTTTACCAAATCGTTTATTGTGGGCTATTTTTCTCTGTTGTAAGTCCAACAAGCAAACTTTTGCTATGTGTAAAATAAGTCCTAACTGTCCTTCCTAGTAACAAGAGGTATGGGGCTCCTGAGTATTTTATCGCCCTATTTTGCAACTAGCTATGGAAGAGACTAGTGGGAGTGCTTATTCAGGCTCCTGTCCATCTCGTTCATTCATTCATGTCTCGAAATCGCTTCAACATATATCACGAACAGTAGATACTGAC